AAGCTAGACATTTCCATTACAAATGGGAGAAGAAATTGTAGAGAAAGAAGAAATAACAGGCACCAAGCAAGTCAGCAGAACACATTACACTAGCCCTCAAGGCTTTGAAAATAATCCTCTGTTCTCTGAGACTATTTACACAATGGTCATGCCATCCAAACTCTAGGTATTGGCCATATTCTCCAGATTCTGAGTGGAGGCCCCTTGGCCCTGGGCTTCAGCTCTGCCTTCCAGGCCCACTAGGATGGCAACTCTACTCCCTTGGCTTCAGCCACACCATTCTCCTAGTCCATCTGAGTGATGACTCCACCCTTAGAAACACCAGAGGCTACGGCTCCACCCTTTGAAACCCTAGAGGTTGTGGCCATACCTTTTGAGACTGAGGCAGCTCGGCTTCCTGTGTTCCTTGTCTCTTTAGCTTCTGCTTCCTAGTTCCTTGGCCTCTCGGCACCTCAGGCCTCAGGCCCGCATTTGCCCCACTGGTGCAAGTGTCCAAAGCTCTGTAGCTTCAACAGTGAGTGCCTGGAGGCAACCCACTCCACCAGTAAACTTCGGCCAGAAGGCACTCAGCTGTCTTGCTCCGTGGGTTGGCAAGCCTAACTCCACCAATAAGTGCCCGGAGGCATTCCACTCTGCCAGGAAGCCTCCTGCTGAAAGGCACTCAGCTCTCTCCCTCCATGGGCTCGCTCCAGTGCTGTCTGCTGCTGTTGGTCCTCTGCCGTTGCCACTTCTCTGCTGCTTCCAGTCCTCTATCCATTCACAGTTTCAAAACTGCTTCCACATTTTAGGTATTGTTAGAGTAGCACCCCACTCTCAGTACTAAATTCTGTCTTAGTCATCTAGTGCTGCTATAACAGAAATACCACAAGTCAATGGCTTTAACAAAGAGAAATTTATTTCCTCACAGTCTAGTAAGCTAGAAGTCCAAATTCAGGGTGTCAGCTCCAGGGAGAGGCTTTCTCTGTTGGCTCTGGAGGAAGGTCCATGTCATCAAATCTTCCCCTGGACTAGGAGCTTCTTTGCACAAGAACCCTGGGTCCAAAGGACATGCTCACCTCCAAGCACTGCTTTCTTGGTGGTCTGCATTCTCTGCTTGCTTCCCTTTCCTTTTATCTCTTTAAGATAAAAGGTGGTGCAGGCCACACTCCAGGAAAACTCCCTGGATCAGGGATGTGACCTAAGTAAGGGTGTTAAACAATCCCACTATAATCTTCTTTAACATAAAATTACAATCACAAAATTGAGGATAATCACAAAATACTGGGAATCATGGCCTAACCAAGCTGACACATATTTTTGGAGGACACAATTCAATTTGTGACAAGATCATAGAAGAAAAAGTAGGGTCCATGCTACAGGCCCTAATCCACGGCATAACTAGGATACAAACCATAACAATACACAAACAGCAGAAGATAAGCTAGATAACTGGGATCTTCTAAAAATTAAACACTTATGCTCATCAAAAGAGTAAAAAGAGGACTTACAGACTGGGAAAAACATTTTGGCTATGACAAATCCGACAGAAGTTCTAATCCCTGAAATCTATAGGAAAATCCAACACCTCTACAACAAAAAGAGAAATAATCCAATTAAAACATGGGCAAAGGGTATGAACAGACACTTCACCAAAGAAGACATTCAGGTGGCTAACAGACACATGAGGAAATGCTCAGGATCAGTAGCCATTAGAGAAATGCAAATCAAAACTACAATGAGATACCATCTCACCCCTACATTACTAGTGAGAATCAAAAAAACAGAAAATGACTAATGTTGGAGAGGCTGCGGGGAGCTTGGAACTCTTATACACTGCTGGTGGGAATGTAAAATGGTACAGCCATTTTGGAAAACAATACAGTGCTTCCTTAAAAAGCTAGAAATAGAAATGCCATATGATCCAGCAATCCCACTCCTAGAAATATATACTCAAGAAATAAGAGCCATCACACGAATAGACATGCACACTCGTGATCATTGCAGCATTATCCACAAAAGCAAAAAGATGGAAACAACCTAGACGCCCATCAACAGATGAATGGATAAACAAACTATGGCACATACACACAATGAATACTATACAACAATAAAGAACAATGATGAATCTGGAAAATATGTCATAACATGGATGAATATGGAGGACATTATGCTGAGTGAAATAAGTCAATCACAAAAGGACAAATACTGTATGAGATCACTATTATAAAAACTCATGAAAAGGTTTCTACATAGAAAGAAACAATCTTTGATGGTTACTAGGGAGAGGAGGGGTCGGGAGAGAAAAACACTTGGTAGACAATAGATAAGTGATAACTTTGGTGAAGGGTAAGACAGTACACAATACTGGGTAAGTCAGCACAACTTGACCAAGGCAAGGTCATGGAAACTTCATAGACACATTCAAACTCCCTGAGGGACCGAATTACTGGGCTAAGGGCTGAGGACCATGGTCTCGGGGGACATCTAGCTCAAATGGCATAACATAGTTTATAAAGAAAATGTTCTACATCTACTTTGATGAGTAGCGTCTGGGGTCTTAAAAGCTTGTGAGTGGCCATCTAAGATACTCCACTGGTCCCACTCTGTCTGGAGCAAGGGAGAATGAAGAAAACAAAAGACACAAGGGAAAGATTAATCCAAAGGACTAATGGACCACAACTACCACTACCTCCACCAGACTGAGTCCAGCACAACTAGATGGTGCCTGGCTACCACCACCGACTGCTCTGACAGGGATCAGAGGGTCCTGGACAGAGCTGGAGAAAAATGTAGAACAAAATTTTAACTCACAAAAAAAGACCAGACTTACTGGTCTGACAGAGACTGGAGAACCCCCAAGAGTATGGCCCCTGGACACCCTTTTAACTTAGTACTAAAGTCACTCCTGAGGTTCACCCTTCAGCCAAAGATTAGACAGGCTCATAAAACAAAATGAGACTAAATGGGCACATCAGCCCAGGGGCAAGGACTAGAAGGCAGGAAGGGACAGGAAAGCTGGTAATGGGGAAGCCAAGGTAGAGAAGGGGAGAGTGTCAACATGTCGTGAGGTTGGCAACCAATGTCACAAAACAAACACGTATATTCATTGCTTAATGAGAAACTGATTTGCTCTGTAAATTAGTAATTCACCTAAAGTAAAAAAAAAAATCCAGAACAGACTCAAATAAAATTATCTATCTATCTGTCTGTCTATCTATCTATCTATCTATCTATCTATCTATCTATCTATCTATCTATCTATCTATCTATCTATCTATCTAACTATCTCCACTTACATTTCAGGACAACTGTAGTTAACTGGAAAATAATGTGAAATACCTGACTCTCATAAAGTGCCATATTTAAAAAATGCCAGTGTCCATTTAAAAATCTAGACTGATTGCTATTAACTTTTGGTATCCTGGAATTACTATGATAATCTTATGGAGGCTATGGGTCCCCCAGGGGCCCTCAAAGCTGATGTTCAGCCCCTCTGCTACAACTTTAACTTTTGCATTAAAAAACAAAGAAACAAAGAAGTAGTCAGAAATGAAGTGGACCCTTGAAGATAGATACCCTACATATTAGTGAGCTGAAATGGACTGGGATTGGCCATTTTGAATTGGACAATCATATGGTCTACGATGCTGGGAATGACAAATTGAAGAGGAACAGTGTCACATTCATCGTCAAAAAGAACATTTCAAGATCTATCCTGAAATACGACGCTGTCAGTAATAGGATAATATCCATACACCTACAAGTAAGACCAGTTAATATGACTATTATTCAAAGTTATGCACCTACCACTAATGCCAAAGATTAAGAAATTGAAGACTTTTACCAACTTCTGCAGCCTGAAATTGATCAAACCTGCAATAAAGATGCACTGATAACTGGTAATTACTAGTGACCAGAATTTGAAAGTTAGAAACAAAGAAGGATCAGTGGTTGGAAAATATGGCATTGGTGATAGAAAAGACAAGAGAAATCACATGATAGAATTTTGCAAGACCAATGATGTATTCATTAGAAATACATTTCTTCAATAACATAAATGGCAACTATACACATGGATTTTGCCAGATGGAATACACAGGAATCAAATTGACTACATCTGTGGAAAGAGACAATGGTGAAGCTCAATATGATAAGTCAGAGTAAGGCCGGGGCTGACTTTGGAACAGACCATCAATTGCTCATATGCAAGTTCAAGTTAAAGCTGAAGAAAATTAAAACAAGTCCACAAGAGCCAAAGTACCATCTTCAGTATATCCCACCTGAATTTAGAGACCATCTCAAGAACAGATCTAACGTATTGAACACTAATGACTGAAGACCAGACGAGTTGTGATAACATCAAGATCATCATACATGAAGAAAGCAAAAGGTCATTAAAAAAAAAAAATCTAGAATAAAGCAAAAATCTGAAGTTAGTGGTTCTGTAACTTCAGCATCACCTGTAGGGCTTACTAAAACACAGATTGCTGGGCTCCATCCTCAGAATTTCTGAATCAGTAGCAGCCTGTTAATTTACATTTTTAATAAGTTCCTTGGTGATGCTGATGCTGCTGGCTGGGCTACCACACTTTTAGAACTGCTAATCTAGACTAAACTAGAAACAATGTCAGATGAAAGATTTTCCCTCTGAAAGACAATTGCCAAATAAACTGTGCTTATTAAATAATTTGTTTTTCCCTTTTTTTTATTAGCTAAAGATATCTGTAACAGTTAATCAGTTTCTGATCAGCAAAAAAACCAAAACATGACATCACTGAGCTGGCATGATTCTAGCCTTGCCTCTTTGTTGAATACACATTTTGGTTTTCACAAATCTCTTCAAGCCAGCTAAGAAGGCCTTCCCTTTTCAGAATCCACCCTGGAAACCATGCATGGCCTATACCAACTATCCCATAACAGCAACATGAAGGAAACCATCTTGCACCACTAAAGTGTCAGCAGTCCCCAACCTTCCTCATCTCATGTCCCACCCCCATGCAGGGCTGCCACCCAGGTCTCACCATCCAAGATGGCCCATTGATTGTCAATCTCTGTATGTTTCAGGTAGGAGTCTTCAATGGTGGGATCGTAGTCAGGCACAAAGATCTTCTGGAAAAACTGGATGGTGAGGGCACTCTTGCCCACACCCCCATCGCCCACCACCACCAGCTTGTACGTGGGGAGGTTGTCACTGGGGACAGCGCTGGTTGCCATGTTTCTGGTAGGTCAGACCTGGGGAGGCAAGACATGTGGAATGAGGGGGCAGTTGACAGCATCAGATGTTAAGCATTGGTGGTTGTGTGGGGGGGTGGGAATCGCATAAAGAACAATTTCCATTGCCAGTGCTCTAAGCTGCTAACGAAGGAGGAGCAAGACCACGCCCTGGAAGAGTATTCCTGGGTAGCATGAAAACCAATCCTGAGCCAAGCGAGCAAAAGCTTGATTCTACGTCTGTACAGGAGAAAAGAATCTCTGTGTAAGCTGGGAGGGGCAGAGGCATGGTACATGTGTGACAGGGAAACTTAAGGGCTCATAGAGGGGGTAGAGGGAGGCAGTGTGGTTGGAAGGACAGCAGATTGGGTGTACTGAATGCTCTGCTGCTCCCCTGCTGTATGACCCTCGGGAAGGTCACTGACCTTAGAGCCAATCTCCTTATCTACCAGATGAAAGGGCTGGATTAGGTGATCCCTGCAGTTATTTTTGGCTCTAAATGAGTCAATTGTAGTTAGATTTCATTAGAAAGGATGCTATACACAAATGTGGGTTATGTGGTCATGCTGATTTGCATGGTGGTACAGCAAGAGGCATTGCAAAATCCTTTGCAAAGTTACTGAAGCCTGATGTTGACATTCAGGATTTCCCTTCAGTGTGGGGAAGTAGGTGCTTTTATACCCTGCAGTGAGAAAGTCAATCTGTCTGTATTGGACAGAGAATACCTTTGTATCAACATATCAAGATTTAAAATGTAAATACTCTCTCCATAGCTATACTACATGTGAGAATTTATTTTAAGGAAATAATCAGACAAGTATACAAAGATGTTAAGAATGGGTAAAATAGAAATAACCTAAATGTTGGGCAAAAAGTAGTTTATCAATACAATGGAATACTATGCATCCATTAAAAATGCTGACATTCACCAACAAATTATTGATTTAAGAAAAAAAATGGGCTTCAAAATAGCAAGTTCATATGATTTCAGTTACCCATCTATGAATCACATATCTAGATGTGCATCCATGCATAGAGGTTTGGCAGGTAGTTGTCTCTGAGGGAGATTTCAGGGAACTTTTTCTCAATTTTTCAAGTATACTACAATAAGCATGTAGTATACTTGTATACTAGAAAAGTTTAACCATATCAAAATGTTCCCAACAAAATAAAATGTTCAAGCCACCTGAAGACATGCAATTCCCTCTCATTCACATGGAGATTTAAGTTCCTTTGGTACATGATAGGAAGACCAACATCTGCTGCAGCCCCAGCATCTGGCTCCCGAATCTCGCTACAAAGATGGGGATAAGCTGAGCAATCCCAGGCTGAATACACGACAGCGATGGCAGTCCAGAGGGGTCAGAGGGACTTGAAGGGAGACAGAAAAGGGGAGAAGAGGGTAAGGGCCAGCTCCCACTCTCCTTTGCCTCCAGGGTCAGGGGACCTTGCTCCTCACTGTGCCTCATGTAACCACTGTCTTGGCCTGGGGTGGAGGCGAACTGTGTTTGACTGTTGAAAGAGGCTGTTTTTAAAACTTACATTCTCTGCTGGAAGCTACATGAATAAAAAATATTAAGTGAGAGAGAAGCATGGGGAAGGAAAATCGTTTCTCTTGATTTTCTTTTCTAAATAAAACAAGATAAGAAATACACTAGTAAATACAATACAGGACATGAACCGAACCTTTGATTCAGGGCTCAGACCACCCACAGCAGAACCACCAGGGAACTAAAAAATGCACTCTGCTTGCCAAGGCAGCTGGCAGGAAATGGTCACTGAGCCCCTCCCTTTTCAGTGGCTGCACTCAGGGTTGAGCCCCCAAGAGATCACAGGAGTTAAGCTGGGCTTCCCTTCCAACTCGGACTCAGTGGAACAGGTTACAACACATAGTTAACACAATAATCAGACTGGGTCCCAAACACCTTTAGTGCTGCCTGTCCATAGCTGATGGGTCAAGTTCTATTCAGTGGACTTTCAAGGTCTGCCCCTGGCTGCCATGCTGACCTTTGCAGTCATGCCAATGCCGTCGCCCCTCACACACTGCTCTATTTCAACCAACTTTGTGTTCTCCCAGAGTGCCCTGTGGTCACACTGTGTCCTCTGCACATGCCTAGGACCCTGGGAGCACACACTCTTCACGTCCATTCCACGCTTTGAGTTCTGAGTTTCTTGGTGCATGGGCCACCATTACACCTGGAATCTTGTACACATTCACTCCTGCACATAAGGGCAGGGACTGCATCTTGTCTTTCTCTGTACCCCCAGAGCCTGACACAGCACTGGCACAGAGCAGACGCTTGCTGAATGAACCAGAAGCTGAACACCGGCATTTCTGAATGACAATCAACCTACTAGCCACAGCGCTGGCCCTCACTGTGCAGAGGGCTAAGGGGCAGCTCTCTCAGCAAAGGGCTGGGACTGTCTCCCTTCACTCTACCAAGGGGTTAGAACCAATCACACAGGACCCTTCTGGAAGCAAGCGTGAGCCGAGGAAGAAAGAAGCAGTTGGGAGGACAGGAGAATGAGTCCAGAGAACCCACCAATTCATAAAGGCCATAGGCCATAACTTCTGATAGACATGCTTTCCAGTCTTCCCCTTCCCCCACCAAAAGAAAAAGAAAAAAAAAACAACAAAAAAAACGACTAAATGATTTCTTTGTAAACAGGGAAGAGGGGAAAGGGGGGGAGCAGTTAAGAGCACACCACATACCTACAAATAGGCTGGTCTCACATGATAGAGAGGAAGATTCATAAAAACTATGTCACCACATGCTATGACAAAAGTCACCACAGGATAAAAAGTTTGTTGGTGGTTAAGGAGCAAACTGCTGATGCTGATGCTCCCAATCTGCCCTCCTCCTCCACCTCAGCCCTCTCATCTTAGAAGGCACCTTATAGATCATTCTAGAATATGAAGGTTCTTCACCTTGTAGGGGTTACGGATAGGCCCTTTTGAGGTGGTAGGCCTTACTGAGACCTGAGGTTCTCCTTAAAATTTCCCCTCCCATTTTGTGTCAGATACTCTCCTACTGACCAGTTGGGTGACTTGGGAAAGTTACTTTTCACAGCCTCAGTTTCTTGTTCATAACATGGGGCTGGAGAATCATACTTTGCAGGATCACTCTAAAGATGAAATAAAAATGCAGGCGGTGTGGCCAGCTCAGAGAAGCTGCTCAAACGTTTGTACTCTCGCCTTGTTCTTTGTGTTCCTGGAAGAACACAGGCGCGCACAAGTCCCAGCCCTCCTCGCCATTCCCTCATGAGAATCCCCTGGTGCTCCATCACAGTCAAATTAAATGGGCCTGTGTGGTAACAACACCCATCATTTAGAACACTGTTTTCATGGGAAATGGCTTCACGGTACCACAGAGCCCTCTCCACTCAGAAACCAGACCGCGGTGCATGCGCCTGTGCACTGGTTCCCCTGGCAACCACCACGCCCAGAGTCACTCAGCCCACAGGCTGCGCAGTAACCAACACCATCGCTCATACTGGAAACTTCTTCCTAAAAGGCAATGTTGCTTCCTCAGCAGACCATTTTTAATAACATACATGTGCAAACTTTAGCCATCTTTAAACTGAACCAGTTGCTCAACACTGGCATTTCTGAATGACAAGCAGACAACCCACTATTCACAGAGCGGGCCCTCACCGTGCAGAGGGCAAAGGGGCAACTCTCTCACAAGGGGTTGGGACTGTCTCCCTTCCCTCTACTGAGAGGTCAGAACCAGTCACACAAGACCCTATATGATTTTTGGTTGCTGTCCATCTTTTGCTCCCTTTCTATCCTCACGGTTAGAACCATCTTGCATGTTTGAAGTTGTTTCATGGATGCCAGATTCGCCTCCCCAAGGAGATCCTAAGCTCTGTGAGGACAAGAGCCACATCTGTTCATTCCCTTGCCTCTCACAGGGCCAGACAGGGCCCAACCTGTGGGATGCTCAGTGACTACTCATTGACTGATTACTTGATATTCTCTAATGCATCCTTCCACCTGCCCATCCCTCCCTGTGCCAAGAAGAAGAAGGGTGATGCCATCCTTCTGAAAGAGGCAGACTCAAGCCTCTTGGAGGTGGGGGGCTGGGTGGCCTGATGACCCTAGAATAACCCTTTCACCCAGCGATTTTCAAAGTGTGCTCAGTGGGTCCCAGATCTCCTGGGGACAGTCTTGTCCCGAGCCCCAGTGGTTCTCAGCAAGGCAGCCTGGGGGTTCAGTAATAGCCTGGACTCTGCAGCCAGGCAGCCAAATTGCACTCATGCCTCAAATATGGACTCCTGCACGATCTGGGGCAAGTTGTTTAACCTCATGGAGCCTCAGTTTCCCAATCTATAAAACAGGAGAACAGGGTCATCGAGAATGGGTAAGGGCCCTGTGAAAATAAATGGAGGCCCCCCCAACAAGGGCATACTTTGCACTGATATGCAAAGGAGTTGGGTCCCTGGTCTCCCTCTAACCTGGTAAGCCCCAGTGATTTGAAGCACTTTCCTGCCCATCCATGGCCCTAGTTGAGAATACCCACACCACGTAAGGCTGCCAAACCAAAAACCAACCTGCTGCTATTAAGTCGATTCCTACTCATGGCAATTCCGTGTGTTACAGAGTAGAACTGTGCTCCATAGGGTTTTCTTGGCTGTAATCTTTATGGAACCAGATCACCAGGACTTTCTTCCATGGTGTTGCTGGCTGGTTAGAACCACCAACCTTTAGGTTAGTAGTCAAGCACAAACTTTGTGCCACCCAGGGATCTTCATAGGAGGAATCAAATTAGTAACGGATATAAATGCCTTGGAGTCAACTGAGTGCTGCAAATGGTTAACGTGGTTGGCTGTTAAGTGAATGGTTGGAAGTTTGAGTCCACCCAGAGGCACCTTGGAAGAAAGGCCTGGTGATCTATTTCCAAGGAATCAGTCACCGAAAATCTTATGGAGCACAGTTCATCTCTGACACACATGGGGTTACCATGAATCAGTCACAGCAACTAGTTACTGGATAAATACCGAGGACAGAGGCAGGCCCCA